TTGTCAATGCTAATTGACTCTACACACCAGAGATTCCCCTCCACACATGCCGTTGGGTATGTTTTTGAAACCCGACCCCGCTTGCAGTGGCCCATGCTCCTGATACCTAGTCCCTCACGCCTCTTACATTTGGTTCCTCAGTCCATGAAATTATTCGAAATGCCTCCTTAAATGTGTTAAGGGATGGTATCGGCAATGCAAGCGGTAAGCGTAAATGAACCTTGATCAAGCCCCCGTGAACGAATGAAGACTCAGCGAGATCAGTGTTGGGCAAGCCCTCTGAGCTGGTGATACCTGGGTGCTCAAGGGGAGGAAACATAAGGTACGTGCCTGCCGCGTCAAGGTGGCAGGCAAGGCAGTGAGTTGGACTCGTTGCCTCTCTCCCATGTCGCATCCAAAGTCAAAATGCGGTGCCACGTAAGTATTGAACAGGTCTCTCCGCTGCACGCGCATCGCCATTCGAGAGGAAGCAATGCCACTGTAATATTTCACACCGTAAGAAGGGTGCAGGTGCAGTTGAAGGAACGCCCCAATGGAGAAAGCAGACCGCCTGCAACCAATAGAATGGGCAGACTATCTCTGACAGGGCGCCCCCTACGTTGAGGAAGAGGGCGTTGCTCCTGATAAGATAGATAGCCCTGCGGCGGCCCCCGTGACGTTATCCGGTGCGCCTCGCATCAGACTTGGACAGTTTGGTCCGCGCGGTCAAACGCTTGAGGAATCACACCTCGAGCTTCCAGGCCATTATGGGTGTCCCCCGAGGCACCCCTCCGCCACTCCCGGCAGAGACAGAGGAGGGAGGCAGGGAGGGAACTCATGGAAGCTACATACCTTCCTTACCTACCTTGACAGGCTTGGGTGCTAAGGTTTCTCCTGAGGTGTCGTTGGTAGGCCGGTGTGGTGTCCAGGCCAGTCAGGCACCGCTGCTATTCCTGCATGTCAAACTAAAAAAGTACTGCCTGCCGCACCTTCACCTACCTTACCTTACTTACCTTCTCGCCGCATCCTCTCCCCCCATTCTCGTTCAACCTCTGGTCATTCCCTTCGATTCATTGTTACGGTTTGGCTGTTGATCACGGGCCGTTCGAAATGCCTGTACCAATTGCTGCCAAAGGTGAGTGACACCGAACACCCAAGCCGACCTTCTCCAAGTCCCCCTTGTCGCGGCCTATCGCTTGTGCTGCCTACCCCATCCCAATGCCGCCCGAAGATCTGCTGTTTTCTGCTCTTCAATACGCTACCCCGCGCCAGCGCTGTCGCGAATCACGTTGCTTGCCTGAGGTGGTCAGGCCTGTGGCATTGTGGCAAATGCTCTTCAGGACTACGCAATCCCATCTTGACCGTCTGGTGGCCATTTCACCTCTGGAAATCAGACCTTGAAACCTCGTCCTCGGGGTCAGGTTTCTCATTTCTCCATTTACAGACTGTATCCTTCTTCCCTTACACACCGTCCCTCCTCGTTTCCCAAGTTATCGCATTTTGATCCTACCTTCACCCTCATCTTATAATGCCTGGAGTTAACCACGGAGCCCTGGCTTCAGCCGGCGTCATTGCCGTTTCTGTCGCTGTAGCAGCCGCCATCGCCATTTACGAATCGCCCGAGATCCGACGCTATGCTGACGAGCTTCGGAGGCGTATCGCCGTCGCTCTGCATTCGCTGGGCGAGAATATCGACCCGGAGGACCGCCCGCCAATGTTTAACCGCCCTGAGGATGCTGCAGGTTTTATGCAATCTCGTGGAGGACCTGAAGCTGGCGTCGATGCCGACGACGAAACCCGCCGCCGGCAGCGGGAGGAGCTATTGTACTGGAATGCCCTGAAAGTCGCCAAGCAAGAAAAGGAAAAGATGGAGGCCGAACTTGCCGATTCAAAGGAGCTGCCGCCTGCCCCGTCGCGCGGAAGGTCCTTCGATGACTTTATGCGACAGGACGAGAGCAGCGACAAGGGAACCTTCGTTTTCAACACCGGTGCCAACGTCCGCGGCGACGAAGAGGGTCTTATTCGTCGACGTCCTGAGGGTGTCCGTGGCCTGAACGCCTCACTATACGCAAACCCGTTCGCCGACGAGCACCAAATCGACCAGGACGAGCTGCCGACAACTGAGGAGCCCAACCAACTGTCTCCTGGCCACGACGAGGCCCTCTCAGATATCTACAGTGCTACGACCCGTGACGCAGACGAACGCCCACGATACACTGCCGCCGCTATCGCTACCATGCCCGCTCTTGTGGATGTTGCTGAAAACTCATCCGAGACCGAAAGATCTGCCACCCTTGACCGTGAGCTCGGATCCGAAGAATACATGACCGCTGGCCAGGACGACCGTGACGATGCGTACGCCTCTATCCAGGCCTGGGCCCAAGGGTCCAGCCCCTCCAACTTTTACTCACCGCTCCCCATGTCGCCACCCGTGCCCATGTCCGAGCCTGAACTCGTCAGCGACGGCGAGTTGACTCCCACCGACTCGGCATCCCTCGTTGGCTCCGGCGAGGATGTTGCCAACGATGCTGCTTCGTCCAGAGCTGGTGATACCGGACGATACTACGATGTCCTGAGTGAGAGTGAGGGTATGATGACCCCCGCAAGCTGGTCAGAGGTTGGCAGCGTTGTCAGCGAGAGCGAGGCCCAAGCCCCTGTCAGGGCATAATCACGTTGGATTGGACGGTGTCACATTCCTCGCACTCGAGTTTTTTCCTCCTTCGTTTCCATGGTTGGTTTATTCGTGTCGGGAGATTCAATTCGTTTGAGTAGGGCGACGGTACAGGCAATAGCAACGGCGCAAAAGGTTCAACAGGACTGGGAAAGAGTACTCTGATAGATTTAAGGCGGTACTGCACATGAATTGAAATTGGCTCCTATGACACCTCTACTCGCTCCATGTTTCATGATACCTAGATGTGAAAATGCTAACCGAAGACTGATTTCACTCTGCGATGGCTTCATCGGCCGCTCTGATTCTGCCGAGCCTAATGTCATCATCGGAAATGTCGTCCTTATTGATGAGCACAGTTTCCTCATCCTTCAGCTTCTCTGCGTAATCCTTCCACAGCTGCTCTACCGGTCGACCAAGAGACTCGGTCCAGAACTCCTTTTCCCGGTATTTTTGATTGCGAAGCTTCTCATTCAACTTTTGCACGGTTCCAGCGCCGAATCGACCCTCAAGGTAGTCCAGGAAGTAGGCCGTGTGCTGGTAGCCGCCATCCCAGTTACCGCTGGACTCTCTCTTCCAGTGGGGCGGGCTGAGTTTGCTGTTGAGACGGACCCAGTCAGCGATGCCCTCAATGAGGCCGCCGGGACAGGTCCCATGGGCATTCCATTGGAAGCAGTGAACCATCTCATGTGTGAGGACACCCATGATCTCATCAGTGCGGCGTTCGGAGGTGATGCCGGCAATATAGGACATGGAGAAGTGGATTTCCTTGTGGTCGTCATCGAGGTCGGAGCCGGTGGTGTAGGCAACGCCGCCCATGTCGCGGAGGATCAGGGTGACGGAGCGGGTGGGCGGGGCATGAGTAGTCGGGTTTGAGGGGGACTCGTAGAGCAGGTTGAGCACAGAGTGGACAGCGGTGGCCAAGGCGGTGCTGGCGTTCACGGCGGAGAGAAAGTGAGCCGCGGCTGGGTGGTTGAGATCTCGGATCTCGAGTCGCAACTTGGGCAGATCGAACTTGGGGTCGGAGGGGCGATGGCGATCGGCAGCAGCACCGGCGGGGCCGGCGGGGCTTATGGCCTTCTGCTCCGGAGATTTGGGACGGGATGGGAGAGGTGTTGCGGCGGGCGGGCCCGGAGGCGGTGCTTGGGTTGCGGAGGGCGTTGCGGAGGACATGGCGGGCAGGAAGAGCGAATCGGGCTTTGGAGCTGGTGTGGTGTGAGGTGGGAGGACCATCTGCGGGAGAGGTCTTGGTGAGATGAGAGGCGACGCTGAGAAACAAGCCTCCGAGAGGTGGGAGACGGCTTGGGACGAAGTTCTGTTGTGTGCCCTACCAGGCAAGGTAACATGAGCAATGGAACAGGCAGATAGATGTACGCGTAAGCGGCAGCAGCTTGGGATCTTTATGCGGTCTTGAGAGCTTGATGCCGGCTGAGAGGTGTCCGGTAGGTAGCTGACACAAAGAGCTCTGTCCCTTTAGGTTCCGTCACGTCAGTGAAGGTGAATGAGATAGGTATGAGAGCGAGAGTGCTGACCTGGCACCGTCAGCTTGGGGCCCTGATCGTGGACCTGACGTACAGGCAGGCACCTCATGCAGTAAGGTCTACCTAGTAACTTGGGCCGGGGCGCAAAGCCAAACTATGCAGGGGTTGAGGGGCCCCTATCGCGGTAGCGAGGAAGCACATCCCAGGCCGTTTCGCGCTTAGCGGCTTCCTCCTAGCGTCCCGCCGCACCTCAGAGGCGGCATCGTGGGGAAAGACCCACTCGCTGGCCAGTAATAACCTTGAGTCGAGCACAACAAGTCCCCGTGGCACGGGGCAACTGCGGCTTGGGATGCCCCCCAAAGTGCCCCCCTTATGTCGGGCTGCTCGAGACATCTGCAAACAATCACAACACCTGCGCGTAAAAAAGTGCAAACGTCGGTTACGCACCACACACACATACGCCGTACTTGCGCTGCACTGCACGCTCCGTCCCCGGCGCGATACGTTCGCCGCGCTTCTTCGCACTGAGACTTTCCTCCGTGCCGACCCAACGACAACCGACGCGACTTTCAAATCGTAAGCTGCTCGCTCGCTCCCTCTTCCCCGTCGCCCAGTGTCAAACAACCACCCCTCCCCCTCCCCCCGTTGCGCTAAACGACTCATGCTCCCTCTCTCGTCGTCATACTGTCCATAAGTCGTCGCATATCTTGTCCGACTGGATTTACATTCGTGCGCGCGAACCACAGACCGTTGAGCAACCTGCACGACGGCGACGTCGAAAGGATAAACACCAGCTGACCAATCCCCTTTGCTCTTATCAGGCTCAAAATCAACACCCAACTCCAAGCGCAACCCTCGTTCTGCGGGGAATGGCGGAAAAAATCACCGAGGACCAGGTCGACGACCTGCTCAAGATCCTCCGTTCCGAGGCCAGCATCGATACCAAGGTCCAACACGTTGCTGGCATCAAATCCGGCATCAAGCAACACAATGTCCCCGACGTCCTCATCCCCCTCATCTTCGACGGCCTCCGCACCGCATCCGTCTCCCAACATGCAGTGCTCGTTAACGCCGGCTTCACGGCTTTGAATCACCTGCTCACGAGGCTGTCACGCCAGGAGCCCAAGTACATCGCCAAGGAGGCGAAGCACACCCTGCCGTTGGTCATCGACAAGTTGGGCGACCAGAAAGAGAAGTTTAGGAGCCTCGCGTCGCAAGCCTTGACGACGATATACTCGGCCGCCCCAATTGACGTTGAGCGTTCGGTGCGAAACGTTGCCATGATTGGCAAGAACCCACGCGCCAAGGAGGCTGGCATGCACTGGTTGCTGCACATGCACCAAGAGCAGGGCATGCAGTTTCGCGCCTACGTTCCGACTCTTATGGAGCTCCTTGAGGACGCCGACGGCATGGTGCGCGATGTCGCCAAAACCACCGTCATCGAGCTTTTCCAGTACGTGGCATCTGGCAGACGAACTTCCTCCATAAAATGTGCGCTAATCGTTGCGTGACAGAAACGCCCCTGGTACAGCCAAAACAGACCTCAAGAGACAGCTCAAAAACTTCAAGGTTCGTCCCGCGATCGAACAAGCCATCGTCAAGGCGCTTGCGCCGAGTAGCGACCGACCCGAGACTCCCCATGAGCCTGCAGCGGCTCCAGTGGCAAGACCAAAGCTTGCTGCCAGCGTATCGTCTCTGGCGAGCGAGCGACCCGTGACCCCCGCGGGCGAGAAGCCGATTGAGGTGGAACCGGCATATGTCAACACTAAGGGTGAACTTGACGACATTTTCAGGGAAATGATGCTGTACTTCGAAGGAAGGGAGACGGAGCAGAATTGGCTGAAGCGCGAGGAGAGCATGACAAAGCTGCGGAAGCTCATTGCCGGAAACGTGTCCCAAGATTACCCTGACGTCTTCATGTTGGGTCTCAAGGGCTTGCTAGATGGAATCATCAAAGCTGTCAACTCCCTTCGAACCAGTCTTTCAAAGGAGGGTTGCAGCTTGGTGCAGGATATTGCCATTACCTTCGGCCCTGCTATGGACCCTCTGGTGGAGCTTCTTATGCAGACCTTCATCAAGCTGTCAGCCGCAACCAAGAAGATCAGCTCCCAACTTGCCAACACTACCGTCGACACTATCATCTCGAGAGTTACTTACAGCTCGCGAATCATGCAGCATGTGTGGATGGCTTGCCAGGACAAGAATGTCCAGCCTAGGACATACGCTACGGCTTGGTTGAAGACTCTTTTGAACAAAGAAGCCCACCACAAGAGTCACATCGAGCACGGTGGTGGCCTGGATATGGTAGAAAAGTCCATCAAGAGGGGCCTCAACGATGCAAACCCGGGAGTGAGAGAGAGAATGCGTGGTACCTACTGGGTGTTCGCCCAGATCTGGCCTGCCAGAGCCGAGGCGTAAGTGGATCTGTTAAATGCCTCCTGGACCAACTAACACAATCGCAGGCTCAAGGATACATTGGAGCCGACTGCCCAAAAATTACTTGATAAGGACCCGAACAACCCGAATGCCCCCAAGAGGACGGAGACCGAAAGGGCCAGGCCAGGTCTTGGTTTGTCTAAGAGCACCATGAGCAGTACTAAACCGAGTTTACGGGAGACCATGATGGCGCAGAAGAAGGCGAATATGGCTAATCGAAATCTGCCACCTCGCCCAGGATCTGCTATGGCCAATCTTTCTCCTGTTCGACCTCAGCCCGCAGCACCCAGCGCATCAGCGTCAACGGGCCCGGCGCCTCCAGCAAAGACAACTGTGTCCGGCGGCATGTCTGTCCGGCCCATGAGACCCACAAAGAAGCGGCCAGAAATGGCTGCCCGACCGGCCACTGCGGGGCCATACTCCGTGCGGACTCACGATGGACCTTCTAACGAGGCCCCTTCTCCAGAGAGCCTTAGATCCAGGACGACGCTGAAGCAGAAGACGGAAGCCTCGCCGCGCAGAGCCCCCTCTCGGCCTCGGCCTGGACACGCGCCTCACGCGAGCGAATCCAGTGTCGCATCCCCGGTTGCGAAATCAGTGCTCTCGAAATCTGTCTCATCTCCTCATGGGGCTTCCCCGAGGACCAGTCCCGCAAAGACTAAACGATCGCAGACCACTACTGCAATGCCGTTTAGCAGCCCATCCGCAAACAACGAGGATCTCACCCTGGTCGTGCCAAATCTGGCAAGCTTAAGAGCGTCGCCGCCTAAGCGCGCTCAGTCGGAGGAGCCGATGATAATAGACCATGCCGCGGCTTCTGTAGAGATTCCTTTGCCGGCAGAGCGTGTTCCAGAGCCTACGCCAGAGCCAGAAGCTAGAGTTTCTCCGACGCCTTCACTCCAGCCAGCTGCAGAGATCATTCCTGAGAATGCTAGAGGATCGCCTGCCCCTCCCGCTGCCGACGAGCCTGACGAAAAGCCTGACGATAAGCCTGCCGGTGCTCCAGTAGAACCATCTGACAACGTTGCGCAAGCTTCAGAACCAGCTCCGGCTGAGGAGCTGGACCTTCAGTCTGGAACCATGCCTGTCAACGGGCTGAAGGTCTTTGAAGATCCCTTCACCGAAGATCAGCCTGTGGAAAAGTCCAGTCCCACCGGTCCAGTCCTTGAAGATAAGCCGGTCAATGAAATTCCTACACCCGCGCCTATCAACGGCGAGGTCAATGGTGCCCCCGAGACGCCTGACAAGGCGCGGCAGACCTCTAAGCTATTGGAAAGCGGAGTCACCAGAGTCAAGGCGAAGTCCCTGGATGTCCATGGTTTCAGAAAGCTACAGTCCATCATCAGAGACGGTAAAGCCGTTTTCACTGATGAGAAATTTGAAGCGCTTCTTCGTGGGCTTTTCGAGTATCTCGAGTCACCGCTCGCTACTCTCGCGCCGGAGAAGGTTCAAGATGTCAAGGCGCAAATCCTAGCGACGATCAAGCTTCTGCTCAAGAAGGAGCGAGACAACTTCCAGCCGCATGTTTCGCGGGGACTTGAGTCGCTTGTGGAGACTCGCAGCGCCTACGACTCGCGGGCTCGCATCGTCAGCGGCCTTGAGCTTCTCTCCGAGGAGCTTGTTGCCCTAGGCGATCCGCACGAGATCGTCGTCGTGATGACGAAACAGCTGCAGGGCAAGGAGGATAATTCCGTTGAGGGCAGCCGTTGTCTCGCGACGGGTCTGCATGTGCTCAAGGAGCTGCTCGACAAGCGCACCGGCTTCGTGCCTTCGGAGAGTGAACTGGCTCAGCTTGCCGGCCTTGCCGGGCGGTGCCTCGAATCCACGGACTCGGGCGTGCGCATGGGTGCCGTGCAGTTGTGCGTGGCGCTTCACTCGCGGATTGGGGACGGGGCTTTCTGGGAGCTCATCAAGGGTGCCAAGGACGACCCCAAGAACCTCATTACATACTACATTGCCAAGCGACAGCGGGAGAGCAGCGTTGCGGCTTAGATCAACTCAACATACATCATGGTATTTTGGCGATAAACGGGCTTTGGCGTCGGAAGAGAAGTGCGGGACACGGTATAAAAAGCAAACGGAGTTCTTGAGCGGTCGTTGGTATCGAGGGGAGCTAGCTATTTGGGCGGCAGGTCTGGGTTGAGTACATCTGAGAAGACTTTCTTTCTTGTATTGTTGTTTTAATTGCCGGCATGGCTAGCTGAGCGCTGTACTAACATCTATTCTCTTCATCGTATATCTACCGCCCAATGCCTATGGCGAAACGTGGTGCCGACTGTTGTAAGTTGGTCTGACAGAAAAGCCCGAACCTGGTTCGTGACATGAACACCGGTCCCGATATTCCGCCTCGGGCCTGGCGATCAAGCTAGATGTCACCTTTCAATCTACCCTCATCATTTGCGGGGGTTTGCTGCATGAATGCACACATATGACACCTACTCCTCAACGAGAAGGAAAGGGGAAATCAGCGTTTGGTCTGGCGCCTACTCAGCACCTAGCTTGTCTGTCTCGGAGCGCCCGCGCGAAGAAGGAGGTTGATGATCCTGCCGAGCGCAAGCGGAGGATGAACAACCGCGTGTGAAGCTCGCTGACGGGCACAAGTTTATTTCTGGAAAACCATGTCAGCCTGCCTTTCATTAGGACGAGAAGGGGGTCAGCCAGATCGAGACAGCCACGCTGGCGCAGCCGCGGCTTATTGAGGGTCCTGATTTGACCGGACGGATTAGCCGGCGCGTGGCGCATTGTGTGTGCCAGACGCCCTTTCATGAAGAGCCTAAGCGTCTCTCTCCCCCCTCCCTCCCCCTTCCCTCTCCGCCCCTGGCTATCAATCGGACTTGTGATGATATTTTTGGTATCGACGGAGATGTGTGGCGGGGATATGGAGGACTAGGCGGATCTACCTGGTACATCCTGGATCTCTTTGCCATCTTGCGCGATGTGATGGGTCGAAGACATGTTAGTTGCCAGAAGGGGTGGAAAACCAATTGACAAACACCGTAGCGGAAGGAGCCCGGGGCGGTCTGCGTCAAGTTGACAAGGCCCTACTAGGAATGGTAGCTACCAAACCAGTTTGACGGATGATTTATAAAAGAAACTCTGTCTGTGGGTTGATGGTTGATTACTGAGGCTGCGAGAGTAGGGAGGCAGCATGCTGGCGATGCATGGATGTTGCTAGGCGGCCGCGGGCTTCCCCGGAGGGGGGCGGGAGAGGACGAGGCATGATGGGATGATGTCCAGGGCTGTGGGCTACGTGATGCGAGGAACCAGGGCCATGCCAATGGGAGCTGAAACGAGTCTCTCTACATTGTGTATTACCCGTGGCCGGCGAAGCAAACCTGACGGGAACGTGTCTGCAGAAAAGAAAGTTGAAGAGGGAACAAGGTGCAACGACTACGGCTACGGGGCTACGTTTCATAGCTGGGCTAACAGAGCAGATGTTCATGGACCTGGGTTGAGCAGAGGCTCCTCCGTGTAACAACATCTACGGATATAACAACTGTGAGAAGAAGCACGTGAACCAGCACGGCAGTTGGAAGCCTGTGTGCATCTGGCTGCGCATCGGAGAATAATCACGGCATGTCGGCCGGGGCGGGCGGACGCCGGCATCGCCTGCTGTCCTGAATCTGAAGTTGTGTGTTCGGGAGGGCGGCCGCGTACACGACGGCCGTCACCGATTGCGGCTATCGGGTCCTCAGCTCGCAGTGCGACCCTGCGCTGTAAGCGAAGATGCTCGCTCTGCTACTTATTAACCGTGATGAGTTCCGAGTGCTTGGAATGCCACCTTGCGCATGGGCACTCTCCTTTCCTCTGGGTCCCGTTGCTGCGAGGCCCATCCTAGTATCATTGATCTGGCGTTTGCCACGTTCCATTATATCCGTCCAGTGGGAATGGATGAATGGGAAGAGGCATGTAGGTGTGTGTGTGTGTGTGTGTGTGTGTGTGTGTGTGCTTCGTCAGCATGCCATGTTAATGCGATAATGGATAGTGCGATGATGGATGGCGCGAGGCAGTTCATGGGGACGGATTTGATCAGCAATCTGATTGCCCAGGAAAGGCGATCGAGAAGACAGGGAGGTGCCGTGGCAGGGTGAAGGCTGTGAGTTCGCAAGGAGAATACACGTGTGTATGCGCGACACCGAGGATTATGTGGTCTTCCGCAGCGTCCCATTCACGTTGGATGTGGGCGAGTTGGTTGACCGTCGAGAATAGGGGGGAATATCCGGCGGGTCCGTAAGGTACCCAAAGCCTGTCAACGTCCAGATGCTGGTATTTGGAGATGGCGGGCATCCAACATCGAACGACTTGGCCTGCGTTTGTGGGTTTGTCAAAGTCGACTTGAACGGTGGAAACGGTCCCGGAATCGACAGTCCAAATTGGAAGGTTGCAGTCAACCAGTTGGGGAGACGTTGATAGCGTAGTATTGGGATCTAACAACCTTCCACCCCAATTCTTGCCAGCCAACAACTTTACCGGACAGGGCTTCTTTAGCGAGCGCATCAGTGGGCTTTAATTCCCCGTTCGACACCTAGCTCCAGCCGCCTGCCGTGCACTGCGCTCTTGTTCAAGTCGTCGGGAGATCGCGCTCAAGTCTGTCTGTCTGTCGCTGCCATCGTGATTAGCAGCAAACACAGACCCAAACGGCGCGCAGGTTTGTCTTGTGCCGCGCCATGCGACGGCATTAAACGGGAGCTGCTTGGCGAGGCACATCTGAGCTGTCAGTCAAGTTTGACGTGGCACGGTGGTTCTCATAGTAGATTCTCTGAGTTCCAACCGACGTGGGCTCCCTGCCTCGCTTGCTGTGCTGCTTGTAGGGATTCAGGGAATGGCAGGAGGCGCTCTATTTAGCACCCCTATGTCCCCTATTTAGCACTAACTTAAGCCTCTTTCGGTAAGTTATTACGTTAATACTATGTTATATATAGCGAAGTGAATCTCTAGCTTTATAAGCTACTAAAAGATTTATATTATATAGTAATATATAGTTTTATAAAATATAAAGTAAAAATTTATATATTAATATATTAATTTAACATTAAAGTTATTTAAACTATTTATACTATTACTTATATTACTACTTTAGTTAAATTAAGAACTATTTAAATTACTACTAATTAGAAAGAAATAATAGAAACTTAAAATAAAACTATATAAGTAATAAAAAAGCTTATAAGTATATAAAAAACTAGTTAAATTTGAAACATATTAGAATTAAAGCTAGTAATAGTAATAAAAATAATGAGTATTAATTTAATATAAAATTCTAAAAGGTTTAAGCTAAGTACTAGCGTATTTAGCTAAATTACTAATTAACTATATCTTTTATATATTCTTATATTTTTTAGCTTAATTTTTTAAAATAGACTTTTTTTTTGTTATATAAGTAATAGTAGCAGTAATAATAGCTAAATAAATATAATAAATATATTAATATAAGCTATTTTAAATATAGAAAGTTTATACTTTATAGATATATTATTAGTATAAGGGAAAAATATTAATATAATCAATTAATAATATTAAGGTTAAGCTTTTATATTACTACTTATAAAGCTATAATCTCTAATTATAAAATATATATTAAAAGTATATTTCAATAAATAGAGAGTTAGAGTGCTTATTAAGATCTCATTAAGCTATTAGTAATAGTTATAATCTTCTTTTTTAATATAATAATTAAAGTCTACTACTTTAAAATAGTTAAGAATATTATAGTAATAAAATTAGCTTTATTATTAAGTAAATAAACCTACATAAGTATTAAGTTTCTTATTTTAAAACTTATTAATAAATATAGTATTTATAGCTTATTACTACTAATATATTATATTAAGACTTTTAAAAGAGATACTTTAAATTAACTAATATAGTATCTCTTCTTTTATATATACTACTTCATAATAATATTTTTATTATTTATATATATATATATAGAAAGTATTCTTTTTAATTTTAATTATCTTACTAATTATAGTAAAGAAGCTAAATAGGTTAGAGAAGTAGTTATAAAAGTAAAACTTTAGTTTAGTATAAATAGACTTAATATAAAAAGTAGTTTTAAAGCTAGTTATAGTTATAGTACTTTTTAGTAGTAAAGTTAATAAACTTATAGTATAATTTAAATATACTAAAAAAATAGTTAGTTTAAATAAGCCATTACTACTTCTTAAGCTATAAAAAGCTATAACTACTAATCATACTTTAAGTTCTAAGTAGAATTTAATTAAATGTTATATCTTATAGTTATTTAAGTAAAAACTTTAATCTATTTTAATCTTATTATATATTTATTATATTTATATATTATATTTATTATAGCCTTTTCTAAACTTAAAAAAGTTCAAGAGGGGTTTTAAATACTAAATACTACTTATTTCTTGAGTAATATTTAGTTTCAAAAGTAATAATACTAATAATAATATTAATAGAGTTATTATAAAGTTTAATATTATTAATATTAAAGCGTTATTAATTATTATTATTTATATTAGATCTATAGCTGGGTTATTATTAACTTATTATAAGATTACTAAGTTATTAAGTTAGGTATTAAGCTTATTAATAGCTATATAAATTACTTTAAATACCTTTTTATTTATTATTATCAATTTTAAGCTAGATATTTCTAATTTAGTTAGTTTCACTTTCTACTTACTATTTATTATACTATATAACTAATAAAGTAAGTATTTAAATAAGCTTAAATATATAAAAGACTAGCTTTTAGTTTATTTAACTTAAAAGTATTTTACTTATAATAATCTAAGCTAAAAGAGGGAGGTTTCTAAGATACTCCTTATATAGAAGAAAAATAAGTATAAAGTACCTATTAAGTAAAGATAGTTACTAAGGGTAGAATTCTTATAAGTTTATAGTATTACTTAGATATAATAAGTAAGTATAGCTTATAATATTTATATATTATATTACTCTTATTTAAAATAAAGTAAAAAGTAGTATTAAGAGTTAAATATACTAAAGTTATATTATTAACT